TCCCTTTATCTTTTAGTTCCCTATCTAGTTCTAGTTCTTTTGTTGACAGACCCTTCACATTCCACACAGCAATCATTAATATATACTTCATTCCATATCACTTAACCTTTTTCTTGCAAAATTCGTTATACGTTCGGTCCGGCCATCTTGTTTGAAGCTTTCGAGTGTAATTGCTTTTTACGTCGGAGGATTACCAGTCCGTCGCACAACTTCTAAGCAGGGAAAAGACTGGATATTTTATCGAGGTTGTCTCCTCTAGGCGAGACTTCTCTTACGCTGCAGGTCCTCTTCACCATCTCCGCAAAGCTGATGTTTTTCTATGCAGTCCTCTTCTTGGTGTTGAGGTCCTCTTCTGGAGTACTTCTTTGTCTGACCCCCTGTCCTTCGACCTGTCCGGCATTGCCCAACGTCAAGGTCATTTTACTCCCCAGGTGGAGTAAAATGTATTTTATTACTCCATATCATACGATTTCAGCGTCGCCATTGGAACCTAGGGTTAATGTCTAACATGCGTTTTGACCCAACCACCACATTTTCTGGATTACCTGCCCTAAGACCTTGTCTTTCCAGGTAGAATAAACTGAACGTACTAATTGTAAACATGTTACGGCGTTGTAACTTAAAAAATGTATCAAAGAAATAGTAAAACTAAAATTGACCTTTTAATATATACGTGGCCATTAAAGTGCTTTGCAATATTGAATCTCTGAATTTAAGAGGTTTTGAGATTCTTTTTCGAATAACAAAGCAAATTATGTAATTTTAGCATTACATTCTAGCAACAGAGCAGACAATAGTCAACAATCAAAAGAATACAGAACATTTATGTTGTAAAATGTAATATTTACAGAAGATACAATGGTTTAGTTTCCTGTAATATCTACATTAAAAAAGTGTTTTTTAAATTACGGCCATTTTTAACTTTTTTTAATTTTTTGGCAAAATTAAAAAAATGATATAAGGAACATAATAGAAGAAAAATCGGGTTTTATAATTTTCAGAAATTCTATTTTTGAATATTTCTGAATACATGCTTTGTGTGGCTCATTTTTGCAAAAAAATATGAAATTTTTCACAAGTATCATAAAATATAATTTTTAAGCACTAATTTTCACAAATGCAATAATGATTAAAACGCAGGTACTGATGAGTCGCTTTAAGAACTCCACCTGCCTGGAAGTGCCGTATCATTTGGAGGAGGCCCGACTGTCCAACGGGTCTCTGGACGTGAGTTCGACTGCCCGATGGCGGAGATCGAGCAGCCCCACGGGCTACCTCTACCCGCACAAGCGCAGCGACATGTGCCTCGTGGTGAAGCGGCGAAGACGTCGGGTTCAGCAGGGCATCCTGCAGGTCTTCAGCTCCGACTCCTGGATAGCCACAGGAGTTGGGCTCGCCGCCTTTACAGGCGCACTTTGGCTCATTGGCCGCAGGTACGCTACCCATCCTACTCCTCTGAATCCCAACCAATCCTACGAAACCTTCGTTCTAAATGCTTCGTAGTAAAGTTCTCCTCTTCTTCAATAGGTTTGTTAGATTAGTAATTTTTTTTATCGCGAGGAATGAAAGTGATCTTGGCTCGCTGGCTGACGAGATCCAGCGCTTACCTACCTAGGGTTGTAAGCATTCCCCAGCCTAGTATCTCCCACCAGCGTGGCACCGTCTTAGCCGGGCACAGCTCTCAGCTCCCGAATTGTCATATGTGATTGTGTAGTGCATGGGAGAGCGTGTTAGTAGGGGGTGAGAATAGGACAAGGAAGATTAAGAAAAGATCGTCCGCGATTCTTGGTCGGTTTGTTAAGATACCACAACCTTCGCCTGGTGTTGACCGGAGAATCAATGGAAAACTACCGATCAGGCGGGAAACTAGCGGCGGCGATGGTGTAACGGTTAGCGTACTGGACTGTTGTACCCAAGTTGGCGGGTTCAAACCCGATCGAAGCCGTGGATTTTTAAGGGCGAAAAAATCCTTCGTACGCCTTCCTTCGTAGGGGAAGTAAAGCCGGCTGTCCCATGTTCGTATGTATGCATATAAAAGATTCTCAAGCCTAAATGACGCCTCTGAGCTAAATTCAAATCGCCTGTTTCTCGCCCAAGAAATACCTCCTTTCTCTCCTAGTTGGTGAAAAGAGCGTAGCGAAATTTGCGCGGTCAGACGGAAGAGCGGGTCTGATGGCCCGAGTCTCGCCACGTAAAATAAGGCAAATTCAATTCAATTGAATCAGAGAAGGCAGCCGTAGGAATTCTTCTCCATACGGCGGCTGAATTCGTCCTAGCTCTCTTGCAAAAATCCTGCAACCGTCAGGTCTCAAACCCTTCAGCACCGGCTGCGTGTAAGCGTAGCCGCGTGCTGTGCTACGTCACGTGACCTGCTCTGAAGCATTCACCTTGCAAGGATTTGTTTACTTACCGTCAGGATTGAGCCTTGCCGCTCATCTGTCTCACAAGAAGTCGCGGAGGTGAAAATGTTTGGATCTGGCAAAACCTTTGAACATAGCATGAAGTGTCTTAGCCTTTCACGAAGTTTTAATGTTTTGAGATTTAATGTTTCTGTTATGTACGTTGTGCCATGTGCGTAGAAATGGCGTGTGGCAACAACGCCTTGAACTGCCAGCTCGCTTATACGCTACAGATACTGTAGAGCCTTTTGGTTCGAGACTGTGCAGTGATATCAGTTGATCTTCTGAGCCACTTTTGACAGTATTTTTGTTAGTGTCAACGAATTCTGCCCTTCTATAATAACTCTAATGTGACCATGGGCTCCCGTGGCCGGAATCAGTGACTATTGTCCTGGGGACTTCGCACCCGACGTTTCTCAGAGCGAGTTGCTTCTTGCCCTGAGGAATGTTGCAGAATGGTGACAGAAACTTTAGCATCAATGTTTATGACGCGGCGTCTCCCAGACAAGAAAATGGTCGCGAAAATAATTCCATTTTCCCTGCTATTTTGTAAGGTCCACCTCCTTTTCATTACGATGTGTGACACGAGCTTGTATCCATTCAGCCATCACCCGCACATCTCGATTTTCAGCAAAAAAATACGTGTACCTTCTCGCCACTTGCACCTATCTTAAACATTTTTGGAACAGCACTAATGGACTTGAATCTGACAAGTGATTGAATCTACGGACTGAAAGGGCCATAAATGCTGTTTTAGAGCAGACGATTCAAAACCCATTTTTGAGGCTTTCTAATTTTCCACATCCCTGCACTAGAGTCTAGAAAGGAAGAGTAATAATATACCGCACGCTAGACTTAACCAATTGAAATGTAATTTGGTATACGTATAAACAACTGTATAGACACTAATTGAAAGAGTTCTGGGGAAAAAAGTATCTTATATCTATAGGTCTCTTCCCCTCATGGCTTCAATTGTCATTATTGTATGTAATGATTTAATGAATAATAATTTGCTGTCCCTGATCGAATGGCATTTCCCTTCCAGAAACGTGCTGATCGAGGTTTTAAGACGCCTTCATCCACGGCTCTTTGTGACCCGTGAGAGGGACCGCCGAGGCAACTTCCTGTTCGTGTCTCTGAGCGCCTTCGGACTGTGATTGGTGAGCTCTTTCCACCGGCCGCTTTATCGGCTTCCTGCGGTCCTTGAGGAGCCCTCACAGGTGCAAACGTTGGCGAGGAGGTGGCCCACCAGGTCACCAAGGTCTACGGGGACGTCGCGCTGCCGTCTATCTTCAAGGACGTCCAGAAGAACGATGTGGTGTGGAAACTACTAGCTAAGTAAAGAGAATTTTTTTATTGGCGTCTGTTAACTTGACCCAAAAGGTTTCAACTACATATCTACATAGAAGCAGAAAACATTATTAGAAATATAGAAATATTTCATTTCCATCTAATCTATCATTATTTTGTCAATAATGCGAAAAAAATTAAAATGGTGGGGCTGCAACAGCACTTACTTTCCCGCATTGGTTTTCAAATTGCAAATTTCGTAAAATTTAGAATTCAAAAATTCTGACATCCTCCATTTTAATAAGTGTACTTTTCAGTATCCTATAAAAGAAATTAAAGAAAAAAAGTTGGCACCGCTTTTGAGAAATTGGTTTTTAAAACTGTTTTTAAAAAATATAATAATTTATACTTCATTTTTATAATTAGTTTATTAATAAATTATTTTTATGTAATTTTATTTTTTAGCTCTGAAGATGACCGCTATGTGATCGGAATAATCTTTAGAATAATGCATTTTTGATTGCAGACAACATATTTTATTTACCTATTTAATTTTTAGAAGGTATCTACTTTACCAGGGATCTAATTAATTAAATCCGAAAATTTGAAGTCATTGATGAGAAAATGTTGAAAAAGTTGATGCTTCTTGTAACGTACCCAGTAAAAACAATATATAAGTTTCAAACTTACAGAGCATTGAAATCTTTGAGACAAATCGAAGAATGCAAATTTTGAAGTCCTGTAAGAGAGATCAGAGAGATTATTTTCTGTCTGATCAAAACTATGCTGATTTCTACTACTTCTGCTGATTTTCGGTATTAAGGATATATAAAACATAAATTTTAACTCTACAACGTGTTAGAGGAATTTTCTTCCATATAAGAACAATATAAATCCACTTTTTGAAAAACAGGCTGCCAGAATGCGAGTTTTTCTGTCAAACATTCGCCGACGAGAAAGCAAACATTATTCGAGTTAGTTCAAATATATTTCTTCTCGGCTATCTGAGGTGGATCTCCAAGCAAATCCTTTCAAAATCATTCTCTGAATTCGTTTACCTCATTCTTCCTACTACCACCCTGCCTTCGTGAACACTCTGCTTCACCAATTTGCAAATCTTAAACCTATATCTATCAGCAAGCACACAGCGTGTACAAATTAAACATGATTGCAACGCCGTTGATTTTCAGAAATGTCAGACCTCCCTTCGCAATCGTGTTCTCGGATCTCGCAAAGGCGCACCACATCGAAAAATCTTAGCTCATGCGAGTGTCTGTTTGCAGATTCGAGCCGGTTTACGAAGAAACAGTGATGCAAAAGGTGATGCGAGAATTTGTAGGGGATTGGCCTGGCCCGGCGCTCATCGTTTCCATGGACCAGGCGATGCCGTTGTTGAACGGTCCGCTACTTTATGACGCGGCGACGGCCACATCCTTCGCGTATCCGGTCCCTCAGTGCCTCCTTTCTCCGGCCTACATCTCTTACCCGACGAGGCCCCACTGGTCGCAACGGCACCTGTTTGACGTGCTGCTGGGGAAGTTGGCGCAGGCAGGCATCTTCACCAAGTTGGACAGGTACGCGACGCAATACGGATTTCACGATCCTACCTCTTTGCTCTCGTTGCCACAGTATCGCGTCGTCTACCTCTGGCTGACTGCTTTGCAGAATTGAATTGTAGGCAAGCTCTTCACGTATTCGCTCACACTTCTCTCTAACCACTCTTCCCCCAAGCGGCCTGCCCATTGCTTCAACTTTCTGCTTCTGATCGCTTTGCAGAATGGAATTGAAGGCATGCTTTTCAGGTATTCGTTCTCACTTCTCTCTAACCATTCTTACCAATAGCGGCCTCACTATCACTTCAACATTCTGCTGCTGATCGCTTTGCAGAATGGAATTGAAGGCATGCCTTTCAAGTATTCGTTCCCACTTCTCTCAACCACTTTTTCTACAAGAGGCCTCACCATCGCTTCAACTTTCTGCTGCTGATCGCTTTACAAAATGGTTTTGAAGACATGCTCATCGAGTATGTCACACCTAGCTCGTACGTCTCTTCCGCCAAAAGGTCTCACCATCGCTACAACGCACTAGTATTGCTGATTGACCTGCAAAAGAGAATCATGTGAAAGCCCATCAGGTATAACTAGCTTATATATCCTCTATCCCAAGCATCGTAAACGCTTTATCTCGGAGAAGCTGATTGCCCTGCAGAAGCAAATTGTGCGCACATTATTGCTCACATCTACCTCCTACCTCTCTTTACTATTCTGACTCTCCATCGCTTCAAAGCACTGAAGCTTTTTATTTCGGAATCTTAGACAAATTCAATTACCCCTCACACCGGCTGCTTCACATAAACTCGCCTCGATCTAATTCCTCGCAGCGCTCCTCCGTATATTGCACTGCTGATAATCACTTTTGAACCGGTCAACGAGCAGAAAATCTTCAACTTGCTTAAACGCAATTCTTTACCATCTGAGTATTTCTACTTCTCCTTAATTACCTAACCCTTTGTGAATTGAATTGAATTTGCCTTATTTTACATGGCGAGACTCGGGCCATAAGGCCCGCTCTTCCGTCTGACCGCGCAAATTTTGCAACGCTTATTTCATCAACTAGCAACTTTCAAATTTTTTGATTTTTTTCAAAATTTTGTGTACACTTTAACACACTGTTTCGGATCGCATTCTCGTATATTGTGGAAGACGAGTTATTCAGAAAGGCATTTTTGCAGCTGTTTTCAGCCTTTAATTATCTATTAAAGAAGGCGCAACAGCGTTCTGATCTCTTCACTTGTATTCCCCATAGCGACATGTGGGTGAAGTTTCGAGCTCTGGGACTTGTGCATCGCGGGCCTGCGCTGTCCACGTCCTCGTCCAGCGTACCTACTCCCGAGGAGCCCCGCCCCATTAAGCTCTCCGCTCTGCATGAACCGGCTGCCGTGCTATGCGTGGGTGCGTTGGGAGCGGCCATGGCCTTCCTCGTGGAGATGGCGTTGCACATGCGCACTTGCCGACACTTGGTGAAGAGGACGCGACTGTTCTTTCGCCTCCGCCCAGCTGAGCCTCACCGTTGGGCTGTGCGCGCCTATTAAAATTGAGACTATACTGTGCGTGACGCGACCGTGGCCTTCCTCGTGGAGAGCGCGCTGCCCCTGCACGCTTGCTGGGCCTTGGTGTGGTGGACGCAACTTGTTGGAAGAGTGGCGGTGCTATGCATGAGTGCGTTGTTGACTGCAGTGGCCATCCTCGAGGAGAAGGCGTTGCGCATGCGCGTTTGCCGGGCCCTAATCAGAAGTAAGCGACTGTTCCTCCCCGTTCGTCTAACTGTCTCGTCCCGGTGGGCTGAGTGCTCTTATTGAACCCTAGCCCTTGCATGTGACGGCGACTGTGACCTTCGTAATGGAGGGGGCGTTGCGCATGCGCCCTAGCTACCCCATGGGTGAGAAGGTCGCAACTGCACGGATTGAGTGCGATATCGTGCCGGAAGTGGTGACGCTGGTTGCTAAAGCGACCTTCCTGGGAGAGGAGGGCGCTGCGCAATACAGGAAAATACGTGAACCCTTTTATGTTCAAATAATTTTATGGTTTCGTACTGTATACCATAAAAATATATTTGTGTTTACCATACTCTATACAATAATTACCTACTGGGGTACCATGTAACCTACTGTATACCATAAATGATATTTAATTATGGTGTATCACTTATTCATGTTCCCTCCCCTGCACTTATAGAACTATTATTTGTTTATTAACTGCGTTTATTCTAATTCTCATTTCAAAAGAACATTAGTGGCGCTAGAAAAGTACACATATTTTCACAAATTATTTTTAATATTTGAGAATTTCGAATAATCAAAGAAGTCAACGAAAATGTAGCAAGATTAATTTTTAAATGTTCTTCGCTCTATCCGAGGAAAGATTTGAAGAAAATATTTCAAGATTCTTTTGTAAAAAAATATATTACTCTTATTTCGAATCAAAATTATGCGAAAACTACTAGATTAAAAGAAAGTGTACGTCGGTGACTTAGTTTACATACTTTATTTGTCCACTCATTAGTAAATTTAATTTTTGAAAACGTCCCGTGCATAACTACTTACTGTAAAAAGATGTTAAATGCATATATGAAAGTTTATGCTTTTCCATAGAAAGCACACATTGCCGCTCCATACGTATCTGCACCACTAAAACTTTCTTACTTTATTTTCTCGAAATTAGAAATTCTCGACATATTATATGTGTGGACTAAGCCATCGAGATGATCTTATTTAAAACTTTTCTTGGTCATTTCAAGAGGTGGACGCCTTCAAATGGATCTGATGGTGATAAAACAGCACGTCATTTGGCTTTAAAAAAATAATTTAACGATATAGATTATTAAATCCTGCTGAATGTTGCGGGTTGCATTTGACATTATTTTCGTTCTTTGAACTTTTTCGTGAATTTTCCCTATATTTTAAGGGTTATTCTGCTATTAGAATTGGAGGTGAATCCAACAAATTAGAAATAATTAAAATTGCTCCAGTCGTTCTTGATTTATTAGTGATGTAGAGTAATCAATTATTATTTTTGTTCACGAACACATTTCAAGAAAAAAAGTCCGTTCAGATCGATCAGAGTATATCAATTTCGGAGAAATACGTTTGAACGGTTTAGGTACTCGAGTTGACTGCAGGCGGATAGACAGCTGGTTGTTGAAAGGTTAGGTTGATTGAAACTGATTCCAAATACTAGGTCATTAGTTCCGTAAGTGTTGAGTATTTGTTTGCTCAGGAGGTGGCGGTGATAATCCAGCCCTGGATAGCTAAATCCTGTACCGACCTACTGTCAGCTAGCTGGGTTTTCCCCAACCAGGTATCTTCCACCAGCGGGGCACCGCTTCAGCCAGGACAAGCTCTAAGCTCCCGATCGGTTTCGCTATCCTCCCTCGCTTCGCCGTCCTAATCCTCCTTGCGTTATCTCCCTCCCTCCCTTTCCGTCGTTGAGCCATCTCTGTTAGCTCTGATCCGCCCTCTAATCATTTTCTTCCTGCATCGTTCAGTGTGTCTCTTCCTTGTTCTTGATTGATTGGCAAGTGATTCCGGGCGCGTCAATTGCTGAGATTCATTGTCCGGTAAGTGTTGTGCAAGTGATTTTCCTCAGGAAGAGACGGTTCTCTTCCACCGCTAGATAGAGAAACCTCACGTCGACAAATGCGTCACATAGCGGGTTTTCCCTGGCCAGGTATCTTTTACCAGTGGGGAAGTCCCCCAGCCTGAATAAGGCCTAAGGTTTCGACCGCTCTCTAGCCATGTGTGGTAGTGCCGTGCATCTAAGTGTGCCGTGCATCTTAGTGTTTGTACGTAAGGAGTAGGATACTGCTCCGGTATTCGCCTGGTATTAATCGGATAAAGCACGGAAAACTACAGATCACATCAGCCGGCCGCTAGAATTCTTCTCCAGACAGCGACTTAAATCGACCTAACTACGTGGCTAGTTTAAAAAATCCTTCCATCGTCGGGACTCGAACCTAGGATCTCTCTGCTTAGAGACACTACAGTGGCATTAGTTGATACCCTGGGCCACCTCACCCGGTTAGCCGTTAGAGATATCAACGCCCTAACATATCTCTTTTTTTAAAATTATGTTTCTATATTGCAATTTACATTTCTATTTTGCATTAAAATTCATAAATAATATACTTTAATACATAAAAATTTAAATTGTAATTTAAAACATTTTTTGTAGCACCAAAGAGGTTTTTTGCAATAATAAACACTATGGACACAGTATCGCAACATATTTAGTTCTATAAGAAAATGTATAGCAACAGTGAAATGAAAACCTTCTAGTCTGGAACGAAATGTAAACCCAGTGAAACGCATTACGATACTTTTACACTTCTTCTATTGAAAACAGTTTTTGAAGAGATCGCTGAATAATTAGAAGGATATACAAGTTGAAATATAATAAAATATAATACTTCATTCGTCCACCTCTACATTTGAATTTTATTTTTTTATTCCACTGTAGACATCGTGGAGACGACATGGGGAGGAAGTTTTGCATTTAATTAGCACCCGAAGCGTCAACCAGTCGATAATAATAATAATAATGAGGTATGATTGTTTTATCGCATGAAGAATCCACAAAGTTTTTAGTGTTTTTACGTTCCCCGGGACTTCCCATCCACGCACGTCTAAAATTGGAGTAGCCATTCACGTCAAGGGAACGCTCATTGAGATTTCCGTGTGAATAACGCGTTCGCATTGCGTTAGAAACACGTCGGCGACTTATGAATGTGCGTGTTGGGATATACATAATAAATGCGGTGACATATTTTATTGAATTGATTTTACGTTAATTTGAAAACACGGTACAGTAATTTTATCCTCAGAACAATAAATGAAGATTACACTACAGGGAAATGTGCTTTTGCACACAAAACCTTACATCTCTCTCTTAATAAATAATAAGATAAGTTCAGTGGCTTCTAAGCAAATCATGTGAAGGAAAAATTTAGACATGGTTCACCATCAGGGGAAAATATTGGTTGGCATTGTGTTGTTGGGTTCTGCCATGTGTGTTGGAAGTCTACCGCTAAAACTGTACTCTGGTCGTTTTTTGTTGCTGTCCAGCCTCTCAGAAAACAGCAAGAGGCTTGCGATGAAGCAAAACGGATCTTATTCTTTGGAAGAAACTATTCGTTTTTCCGTATCAGGCATCCCTTGCAGTCTATTGGCTATATTGCCAGTATCAAATGTACACATAATGCAGGTAAGGTCATTTTCATATTCTAAGATTATCATATTTGAATTTTTTGTTCCAATATTATCAAAACATCATTGATGTTTCCCTTTTATGCACCACTACATATCACATCTAAATAATTTAGCATCTATAAAGCTTCGGTAGAAATCTAACATACATTGAGGAATACGAGTACAGTGTTGATAAATTAAATCCCTTAATTTGTTCGTGAGTGATGAATATTTTTGGAATTCACATGAAATTGCGTTATTCTCTGTATATTCCATCAAAACATAAAGATAATTTTTATTAGGCCAAAACCTTTTATGTTCACTCATAAGTAATCAAAATAAAAAAGTGTAAAATAAAGAAGAAAATGGTATCAATTCATCACTAGATAAACCTGATTTTGCGGGTTTTTCAACGTTAATGGGAGATTTTTCTAGGGTTCCAGGACATATGTATGCTTAATTTTAGAAGTTATTGTAAAAGCAGTGAGGTTGAAATTTTACATTCAAAAATTGCTATATAGATACAATTATTCAAAATTATACTTAAAAGAAAACATTTCGAGCTGTTTTTGAAAACATCAAAATTTTTCTTTCGTGTATATATGTACTTATATACTTTATTGCTTTATATTGGATACAGGTGTATTAGGATGGGATGCATAATATCTTAAACATTCAAATATTCCTATGTCCACCCCCTTGATGCTAAAATTATATTTACATTTTGTACTTTACTCTCTAATTCTTTGCGTGGTCTTTGTGATATGGAGTAATACTTTGCGGAGAAATATACGAATAGAGAAAGTAGTATAGAAATTTGTTTACCGTAATTAGTTTTTTTTCATTAAGGTCATCAAAATTTTTTCGAAATGTTTAGAATTTTCGAGAAATATTGAGTGAAATATATACAAAATTAAACTAGTAGTGCTATAAATTGCAAAGAATTTTTTTGTACTAGGGTCTAGGTTCTAATGTCTTTCGTGTAGGCTCGGATCAACATAACATAGGTTCTAGCTACACCACGTGTTAGAAGAAGTAATTTATTATGTAGAAAGCAACACGATTTATGCCTTTTTCGTTACCAAGACCGGGAAATAAGAGTTTTTTTCTGCCGAACATTCGACGTTTTCCGATTCACGATTACACAACTTTTTCTTCTTAAGAAGTATCTTCGTAAAAAGGGGGGAGAATAAAAAGTAAAAATCATGTTCTATAAGTGCTTTTCAATGAAAAGTTTGGAGGCTTTTTTCAGAAACTGCAGTTTTGAGTTTTATAAAATGTTTAGGTCATATTCAAATGAAAAAGTTTGAGTTTTCGAAAATCGTGGATCATTTTCATCATCATCAAGCACTTTTCCTCACAAATGCAATGATGAATAAAAACGCAGGTGCTAACGAGTCGCTTTAAGAACTCCGCCTGCCTCGAAGTGCCGTATCTCCTGGAGGAGGCCCGATTGTCCAACGGGTCCCTGGACGTGAGCACGAATCTCCGATGGCACAGGCCCAGCAGCCAGATGGGCTACCTCTACCCGCACAGGCGCAGCGACATGTGCCTCATAATGAAGCGGCGGCGGTGGCGGGTGCACCAGAGCATCCTGCAGGCCTTCAGTGCCCACTTCTGGACGGCCACAGGAGTTGGGCTCGCCGCCTTCGCAGGCGCACTTTGGCTCGTGGGCCGCAGGTACGCTACCTAATCCTCCTCATCCGATTGTACGCGTACGCTTCCGCGGTTCGAGTTCATGACTTCTTGACTGTCCGGGTGACGCCGCGTTGTAGGCTGAGAGGCCTCTCAGTAACGTTAGCCTCTCAGTCGACGAAGCGGCGTCACCCGGACAGCCAAGGAGTCATCCCCATCCGATTCCCAAAGAATGCCGTCATTTCCCATGATACGTTGTAAGATTCACCTCTTCCTAATTAGAATGACAATGAATCCTACACTATTAAACTAACTATATTTCTCCTGCTATAGTGTAAGATTAATCTCATTTTAATTCGGATTACAACAATTTCTGCACTACTAAAATACATATACTCGTCCTGCAATTTTATAAGGTTCACATCGTCTTCATTACAGTTCAAAGAATCTTACACCACTAAAATATTTTCTTGTTATTTTGTAAATTTACTTCATTCTCGTAAAGGTTTCAAAGAATCTTACACATCTAAAATATGACCATTCTTTTTAATTGTAAGGTTCCTATTAACAGAATTGTTTTAGTCAAAATCATTCTCTATTATTAACATATGTTAAACCATGTGCGATTTTCTAAGGTTCGTCATATCTTTACTAGGGTTGGGGCATTCTGTTTTACAGCTCCATTCATTATTAAAAGAATATATATTTCCTCTCGTTTTTTATTGTAAGGTTCTCTTCTGACCTTGATAGGACCAGGTCGTTCAAAAGTTGTAATTATATTCTTAGAATTGAGTCATTAGAAATCTAATTTTTGTATACTTCTTAATTTTCCTAATCTCTCAATGCTCTATGATAAATTTTATCTTTTTAATGAACGTTCGGACATTCAAATAAATGAATTTTATTCTTAGGGTAGGATCATTAGAATCCTAAAGAATCATGTGCATATTTCCCGTTTATACTTTAATTTTCACTACAATACTCTTTTACCACTATCCTAAAAAAGACGATGGAGGAATTATTTCAAATACCGAAGTAACAGAGAAAACTGATTGATTCTGTTTGCATTTTACGTCTTTCAAAAATATGCTAGAATTGTGGCTACCATAAAGACATTGTATAAAAGAAGCTTTTGAAAAAATGTTTTAAGTACCTTATTATTTAATACTACTATATATCAACATTTTTTAAGGTCTACAAACTAATGTGTAGGTTCTCAAAATTTGTATTTATTTTCTTATACCGAAAATGGCCAGATATTTAATGGAGCCATTTTTGAGATCAAAATCATTTACGAGGGTGTTTGTTTTGTGACGTATATCTACATACATACTCGTGGTTTTCATTATACAAATCACCAACATAATATCATTTACCAATTTTCAGGACAGAGTTGTTCTATGAAATGCTCCATACGGAAAACGTTGGATAAAATTATGAAAGAATGGTTAAACATCGTTAAATTAAATTTGTATTCCTAAAAGCAAATATCACAAGCTGTGTTAAGTAAACAAAATTATATTAACTATTTATTTTTATAAGCAAAGAAAAAATTTAAAAACAGAAAATAGAATCATATTATAATTTTGAATTAATGTTTCCTCCCTTTCAAGGTCTATTTATTTTTCTCTGCACAAAAAACATTGCTCTCCCTTTCAGTTTATAATATCAATGCATTTGATTTATCTTCTTTCCTTCTCGAATGTTTCCGGTTCCCCGCAAGCGTTTCCTCGCAAACTCCAGAGGTTATTTACACTTATTTAAGTTCCGTCTCCCTACTTGTCTCAAAATACTGTTCTATTACAAAACTCTTATTACTATATAATATTAATTCCTTTTTTTTAAAACAGATCAAAAAACGTCCGCTCTCGAACATTTCTTATCATCCTCCTTCTTCAAACCTCCTGCCTCTCTCCATTCGAATCTTCGACGACCTATGTCCAAGGGGTTTACACATACATGTAATATGATATATTACAATATATCTTGAGAGAAAGGACCAGTTCATGGAAAATCGCTAGCTATTTACTCACAATACTGTATTTGAAGTATTTTGACTCAGACAAGAGTTCGTTAGTTAAAAAAGTTGTTCCACAATAGTTGTACGTGTGTTGTTTTGCCATATTGCGAGGTCAATGAATGAAATTTAAAATTCAGTGATGTAAAAGGGTCGCATTATAATTGTTTCCATTCTCGCATAACTTTGGTGATCACAGGAATTTTTTTCTGTGATAGCGAGCCTCTTGTGGACGATATATTATCATATGAGTTCGGGGCTCCATTGTCGAAACGTTTGGAAAACAGTTCTTCTTTTAATAAAAAATGTAATCAATATAATAAGCTACGTTCTCATTAAATGCATAATTATGCTGCACCAGTAACGTTAATATAAAAAAACAATTACAGATAAAAAATTCTGAAACCACACTCTGTAATTACATCTTTTGTTGCGGAGCTCCTATACCACGATCTGACAAATACACAAAAAGAAACTGTAATAAAATCTTAATAATGTCAATCAGCCACGTGTTGCATTCCTCTCTCTTCTCGAATACAAAGTGTTTTCTGTTCTACCGTGTTTTTTCTTTAATAAAACGTTCCACTTTCAATCGTTAACAATGTTCACTATACACTACCGATATCAGAATTTGCTTTAGTAGAGAAATTGACTGTTGAAGCTGCGAAATATTCATTAGATGCTTGAGAGAACATTTGCAGGAATTGCACCAACACGTTTTGCGCATCGCCTTTCTGTGTTCTAGTCAGATGAGAAGATTCTGAAAAGACGACACACAATTGACAAGATTAACACCTTGCCCAGAATAATTAAATATTGAGGAGTCTGTCATGGTTACCTTTGTCTGGACAAGAAAAACCTTCTCCTTACGTGGTTAATACTTTCTGATGTTATTGTCGCGTTTGAAAGCGCTAGTTCTCGGAGACTACATGGTAATGTTTGCTGCCAACGTACCAACCAACTTTCAGTGCGCCAAATACGCGTATTACTTAGCTTGTCTACACAATCGCTACAAAATTGCTCCAAATTCTCAATCAATGCGATTTCATCACGTCTTATTTGGAAAAAATGGGATTCCAAGAAGTTACTACAATGTGCATAGCTTTGTCGCCGGCTGGCCAGCAAGTGGAGCAATCTACCGGTCACTTTTGAAAGCAGTTTATTTCAAAGAGTTTCGACTTCTTGCCTCTTGTGAGAGAGTTCGCGGGTTTTCTATCTCAGTGGCTGCATGCAAAGTGCTCACAAAACATTATAGATCTTAATGAAATACAGAACGGTACACCTACGTCTAACTAATGAATTATCTACCCAGTTTGTGGTTGTTTAAGAATTTTCTATTCTGACCGCGTTATTTGTGGCCCATACTTCCATCCATCCATCCATCCATTCATTCAGCAATCCCGATTTTTGGGTGCAAAATTGGATGTACATAGTCGCCACCTGCACGAATCTTAACGAATTTTGGAATAGCACTAATGACTTATGTGCGACGTTTTCGATTAAACGATCTATAACCACGGGTTGTAAGTCCGAAAAATAGACATTGTATTATTCAAATGTTTCCATTTCTTTCCTCCATGTAAAAGAGTATAGGGAGGAAAAGTAATAATAGATCTTGAGAAGTAATAATAAAACTTGGTGAACAGATAAAGAAAAATGTGAGTGCTAATTGGAATTCTTCAATGGCTTCTGAGGATAAAGGGACCATTTCATTACAGATCCCTTTCACCTCAATGCTTCAAATACGATTGTCGTATGTACATCGATTTTATATACTGATTGTGTATATGATTTTACACATCGATTTTATCTATTTTGCCGTTCTCATCAACGCTCATTTGTTTCCAGGAACGTGTTGTTCGGGGTTTTAGACGCCTTCATCAACGGGAACTTTGCAACCCGTGAGAGAGACCGCCGAGGCAACTTCGTATTCCTCCTCCTGAGCGCCTTCGGACTGGTGATCTTAAGCGCTTTCACCGGCCGCTTCATGGGCTTCCTGGCGGTCCTCGAGGAGCCCGCGCAGGTGCAGACGCTCGAGGAAGCCATCGGCCAGGTCACCAAGGTCTATGGAGTCGAGACGCTGCCGTCAATGTTCAAGGACGTCGAAAAGAACGACGTGGTTTGGAAACTACTGGCTAAGTAAGAAGAATTTGTTTGTTATTTAAGGACGCATCAACTACTAGGACATTAGCGACCACTTGTAACGGTATGGCAACTGTGAGGATGACACGATATGATGATGATAGGGGTGAATGAACGAACACAATATAACCATGTTGTCTAGGCTATCCGGGACGAGCCGTGTCATTGTCATGGTGGCTAACGTGTCGGCCAGCGTATTGTGGCCTCCTTCAGAGCGTACTGCTGACGTACGCTCTGAAGAAGGCCACAATACGCTAGCCGAAACGTTAGCCACCATGACTGTGTCGCGGCTCGTCCCGGATAGCCCAGACAACATACAACGCCGGCCGCGGAAGCAACTACAATACAACCATACTCAAGGCAGGACTCCCCGCGATCCTTCGGTTCGACATCGCTTCGACACTTCTGCCTTAGCGATATCGGCCACCGGATCGGCAAGAAGAATTTTGTTTATTGTTGCTTGTTCACTTGTCCCCCAACGACTTTCAGACACTATTTGTAAAACTGAAATAACTCTGCCCTCTCACATATACATTGTACTATCAACTGGACAAGAGAAATTGAACCAAGTGCTCCAACAGCACATACTTTCTCGTATTTTCTACATTTGTAACTCTTGAAAATTTGATGAAATGAAGAGATTAACAAAAATCGGGCCAGCAACATTTTAAAAAACATACTTTCCACTATCAGAGAAAAAATTAAGGAGAAAATTTGCAGCAATTTTTTTGAAAATATAATACCAAAATTGCATCTTTTTTCGCTAAAGTTCGCGAAAACCATTCATGTTTTCAAAAATACTTCATTTAATGACCAAATGTTGGAGAACAAATTTCGTTACAATAAATATATTCAATATTGTAATTGTAAGACGACGCAAGCAACCGTTCCTTATATCGATCTTTATCCTACCTTCAAGAATCCCTCAATAACTTCTCCCTCTGGGCTTCCCAAAATTCCATCACCATCAACCCATTCAAATGCCAAGCCATTATATTTTCCTATAAAATTCATCCATTTAACCGCCCTTTCCTCGCCATAGCAAATACACACATTCCCTTGCAAATCAAAAGTACTCTGTCTCGGCCTAACCCTTTCCCGCGGACACTCATTACATCCACAAAACCTCATTAAGTCCACCAGAATCATCAACACTTTACACCCATCTTTACAAATATTTCCATACCTGTGAAGAAAAAAATCTAAACCTATACCTCTTATATCCGTCATATCCTGTCATGTGACCATCCCACCTGGTTTGCTACCTCCCACCGAAACCGCAGAAAAACTAACCTGTGTCGAAAACTATAACATCCGCTTCATTTTACGCCCACCAATGTACACTAATTACAACACTACACGAACCCAAAACAAAATACCCCACATCCTCACGTACTTCCACAACTCTGCAACAGCACAAATTCAAAAATACAATAACAACCCTCTCTCCCTAGATCTTATCATTCCCCACCACCTAATCCCCTGAACCCCGCCCAATACATCTCAACATAAACGCACTTATTAGATATCCTCCAACTTCCCCCTCCTATCACCGAAGCCGGGGGGCACAGACAAGCCAACGACAGACGAACTAACAAGTACTTACCAGAACAGACATACTTACACAGCTAAAGGCGCCTCGACGACAAGTCCGCCGCCTCCTTGCTCCACCCCCTAGCTCACCCCCTCCCTCTTACCCTACCCCCGAGGTAAAGACATACCTTACACGCGTAGTTTACAGATTACAGCGATAATTGGTATGATTTGTAACTGAATAAGAGAGGTCAGAGGATACGTTCTGACTCGTGAACGAGACCCAAGCGACTGACGAGTACGATACGGCGGAGTACGACAGACGAATTCGTGGCTGTTGGTAAGCTCAACCAATGACGATTGACCTCGACTTGTTATAACTGAAAGCTTTGTGTTATGTTACATTAAAACGAATGCAAGAGATGAATGAGCTTGTAGCCGTTCTGGAAATCTGAACAGGCAACGGCGAGAGCACATAGCATCACGTAATTTTATGGAAGTGACTGAAGTCGCGTTAAGATAATTAAACATAGAATGCAAAACAACTAACATCATGATAGTTGCTGCGTGACTCAATGGCTATCATATGACAAGACGTACAAATTGATTTATAAAATAATATATTCAATGCTGGTTTCGACACACTCATTCTCCTATCCTCACCTCTTAGTTACACACACTTTCACTTTCTAGTACTACCACAGATGTCGGGAGCATGGTGACAGACGTCGCTGGGTTGGTGACTCGCTGATGGGGAATGCCTGGCTGCAACGCCACAAACCGATCGACGTCGGGCATCGCCACAGTGAGAGAGGGTCACTAACACTTTCAGGGATTAAAAATGCACAACACTGACGGGACGAATGGCCTTAGCAGTTGACGTGTCCGGAAACTTTAATCAATCAAGGACACACCAAACCAGGATCTTGACTACACATCTTGTTAGAGAAAGTAATTTCCTACATGTACCAAGAACAAGATAAATCCACTTTTGGATACTATACAAGTTTTCTCTATACAAGTATTTCAGTTTAACATTTCCGGTCTTTAAGTAAGTAGCATGACGAGAAAGCTAAACTCAGCAATTCATTGTTCCATGTCTGCCTGCAGTGAGACTCCAAGAAGGTCCGTTAACTTTCTAAATCATTCTGCAAATACGTTTTGCACAGTCCTCTACCTATTACCCTGCTATCACAAATACCCTGTTTCCCATTGGCTGGTATTCAGGTGATACATATCGGCAAGAACATCATGTGTACAATACAAACTTGTTGCAAGATCATTGGCTTACTCTGAGATTTCACACGTCCCTGCGCGGTCATATGTTCTCTAGAGTCACACAAGCAAACGCGTAGAGCATAGAAAGATTAAACCTGAAGAGTGTTGGTTTGCAGGTTGAATCCCATTCGCGATGAAAAGGCGATGCAAGAGGGGCTGCAGGAAATTGGTACAGGAGCCGCGTGCAGCGTAGAATGGTTCAACCTTTGGAGTATTGGTTTGCAGGTTGAATCCCATTCGCGACGAAAAGGCGATGCAAGAGGGGCTGCTAGAATTGGTACAGGAGCCGCGTGGAGCATAGGATGATTCAACCTTAGGAGTATTGGTTTGCAGGTTGGATCCCATTCGCGACGAAAAGGCGATGCAAGAGGGGCTGCTAGAATTGGTACGGGAGCCGCCCGGCCCGGCGTTCATCGTTTCCCTGGATCAGGCGCGGCCGTTGCTGCACGGTCCAATCCTTTGGGATGCGGCGACGGGCGCCTCCTTCGCCCACCCGGTGCCGCAGTGTCTCCTCTCGCCGGCCTACGTGTCCTACCCCACGCGGCCACGCTGGCCTCAACAGCGCGTGCTCGACGCGCTCCTGGGAATCGCGGCGCAAGCAGGCATCTTCACCAAGTTGGACAGGTACACGGCGTAACAGGATCGGCTCATCCTCTTTTCCAGACGCGGCTTCACCATCGCTTTAAGGCAGTGCGACTGATTGCTTCGCGGAATAGAGTTGTAGACAAGATCTTCATGTACTCGCTCTCACTTATCTTCTACCACTATTTCTCCAAGTGGACACACTATCGTTTCACGACACTGCAGATGATTGATTTGCGGACTGGAATTGTCGACCGGCTCTTTAAGTATTCGCTTTCACTTATCTCCTACCACTCTTTCCACAACAGTCATAACCATCGCTTTAAGGCACTAGAGCTGATTGTCTTACAGAAGAAAATCAGGGACCAGTCCTTCACGTACTTGCTCCCATCCAGGTCCTACAGTTCCTTACGATTGCTTTAACGCACTATTTCTCTTAGCACTGCAGTAAGGAATCGAAAACAATCTGTCAAGGTACTCACTCCCTTCTAGCTACTACTTCCCATCCCCGAAGCAACATCACCGCAATGATACTGATTGACCTGCAGAAATGAAACATCTACAAGCACTTTAGTTATACCTTATTACCTAGCTTATATCTCTCCTTCCCCAGGAGGCATCACAATCGTTTCACCTAAGAGCAGATGATTGCATTGTAGAAGGGATTAATAGAAACGTTCTTCAGGTACTGGCTCATTTCTACCTCCCATCTCTCCTTCACATGTGGTCTCTCTATCACTTCAACACACTGATGCTTACAGCTTTGCAGATCGGAATCGTAGACAAATTCAAGTACCCCCACTCACCGGCTGCTCCGCTTCCACTCGTCTACATCTCATTCCTGATGCCGCCCTTCTGTCACCGCTATGTTGCACAGCTGCTGCTGATCACCTTTTAGAGGGTATACTAAAAGTATACCCTCTAATATATCCTTCGTTCACAAAGGCTGTTTTGCTTTCTGAATACCTCTACTGCTCGATCATTGCCTATACCATTATTTACGCTTGAACACACTGCCGCTGATCGAATTCGGATGATCACTGTGACGGGCAAATTGTAGAGAAATGGTGATTTTCATGAGATATTTTCAGTTTTCAAATGGTATTACCTATGACCGAAGGTGTAACAGCGTTATTACGGCATTCTTTTCTTCTTATAGTGACATGTGGATCAATCTCCGGGCACTGGGGATTGTGCATGGGGGGCCTGACGGGTCTACGTCCGCCTCCCACAAGCCTGCCGCCGAGGAGCCACGCCCCCTTCGGCTCTCCGCGCTGCTTGCACCCGGAGCCGTGCTTTGCGTGGGGACGCTAGCGGCGACCGTGGCCTTCCTCGGGGAAAGGGCGCTGCGCATGCGCGCTTGCCGACCGTTGGAGAAGAGAGCGCCACTGTTCCTTCGCCTCCGTTCCGCTGCCCCACCCCGATGGACAGTGCACTCTTATTGAGATTGTTGTGTGTGGCGACATCCGTGGCCTTCGTCGTGGATAGGGCGCTGCCCCTGCGCGCTTGCTAGTCATTGGTGAGGCGGACGCAACTGCGCTTGTTGGAAGCGCGGCTGTATTGCGCGTAGAGCGCTGGAAGTGACCATGGCCTTCCTCAGGGAGAGGGCGCTGCGCATGCGCGCTTGGTGAAGAAAGCACGACTGTTACATCGACTCCATTCCACTGCTTCATGTCGATAGACAGTGCTCGTTTATTGACCTTGTAGTGTGTTGCGACATCCGTGGCCTTCGTCGAGGAAAAGGCGCCCCTCTGCGCGCTTGTTGGTCATTGGTGAGGCGGATGCAACTGCACTGTTTAGAAGCGCGGCCGTATTGCGCGTGCGGGTGCTGGTAGCGACCGTGGCCTTCCTCGTGGAAAGGGTGCTGCACATGTGTGCTATACGGACAATGGTGAGAAGGGAGTGGCTGCGCAACCACCAGCAGCCCCGATTCGTTGGGCTGTGAACGCTTATTGAGCCTGAAACCTTGATGGGTCCTTTGGCTTGCGACCTTGATCCTGTGCGACGGCGTTGCCAGTGACCGTTACCATCGTGGAAAGGGCCCTGCGCATGCGCGCTTGTGGGGGTCTTGGTGAGGCGGACAGTACTACGCCCAGGGCCCGGCAACTCTCCACGAAATTTGGGGACAAAGCTAGAGGTTGCTACTCTAGGATGCGCTAGTGTCGCTGAATACAGATGCTGGTAAGGCTCGCCAACTTTCGCACATAAAAATTGGTCAAAAAATACGAACACACTTCGATTATGAGCGATTTGTGAAATAAATTACAAAAAAAGTTAAATACTTTGTGTTTATCTTCAAAAATTGATTTATTCATAATAATACACGCACGAAAGAAAAAGTTGCGCGAACAGTGGTGCGATCTTTTGTATGAAGCGCGTGTGTTTGCCTCCCAAGAACCTACGCCCGTTTTAACTAACGTTGGTAGCAGTTTGTATTTTAGTTCGCGTAAGAAGGTGATTCTCTAGAGCGCGCCACTGTAATGGTCCCCACCACGTTATATGGGAATTTTAGGGCCGTGACTGCGCCGCTGAGAGCACGGCCGTGCTGGACGTGGAGAAGCACGCGGTGGCCGTGAGCTTTGGCATGGAGTGCTGCGTGCTTGATGGGCCTTGATGAAACCGGCCCGATGTTTGGGAGCACGGCTGTGCTGGATGTGGAGGCGCTGGTCGTGGCCGTGACCTTCCTCGTGGAGAACGCGCTACGATAAATATGATTTAAATTCAATTTGTGAGGGTCCAACACAATGGTAAATATATTATGATATGTTAGATAGATGAGAACTTTATATTCACATTATTTAATGCTTTCTTACAGTACACCATCGATGATTTTTTTACATAACTATGGTGTATGAAACTTCATGTACTACCACACCTATAAGATATGTTTAATATATTATTTGTTTAACAATACGTTCACTCTAAATGACTAGTTAGATGAAATTCAAAGGAAAATTAGTAGTTCAACACCATATAAGTTTTCATATTATTTATAACATTTAAATTTTTGAAAATTCAGAGACAACAAAAAATTAACAAGAGCCATCTTTAAAACTTTCTTTGCTCTAACCGAAGAAAAATTTAAAGAAAATATGTGAAGATGTCTTTGAGAAAAAAGTTTTTATAAATTGCCTTAATTGTAAGCAAAATTTACGCGAAAACTAGTTGCTTTTGAACTAATGGTTCTACAACAAAACATACTTTCTCTCCTTATTTTTAAGTGCTCCGAGTATGTATTGAGTTTTGCCTTAAACAAAATTTGTTAGAGCAAATCAGCTCTTTAAAATAGGTCATGTACAATTTTTAAAAATAAATGTGTGGATTTCATTTAATTTTTGTCTGAAATTTATGATTTTTTTAATTTTTGTCTCAAAAACCGATCCAGTGTTTAGCTTTCATGAATTCCCTTAAAGAGGCGGTAAAAAAAAGTGTTGCTAGTCCCATTTCTGGTGTACACTATATATTTTCGACAATTGCAAAAAAATTAACATTTCTAAACTGCAGAATTGAAGGTAGTGATTTTTACCTCAAACAAATCTGTTAATATTTATAAAAAAAGGCCGCGCAGCTTTATTGAAAAAACTAGTAATATTTTAGTTATTTGTGCTTAACATTTATCCATTTCTGGGAAACATGTTCTCAAAAACAGCACCAAATTTGCTGCTAAGATCGAGACGCTTCAGCCACTCTATGTGTAGGTCAAATAATATTTCTGTCTACTTAACAGCTAGGGTGGGGGTAGAGCAATGTTGTCATTTACTCGGGCGGCACACACGTAGTCGTGTGGTCATTGTTGCACCCGATCACAACATTTTGCAATAAGAGCACACAACAATAGACGACACAGAACTGCACACGCGACTCCTCACCCAAAAAAGAAATTGCGCTCTTCAGCTTACAGTTGTTTTGCGCTGCAAGATTTAATTTTTTTAATAAGTATCTGCAACTATGTAGTGACGACAGCAGAAATTAAAGCTTTTGATTGGATAACAGAACCCTCTCTCCTCAGTCAGCCTCTAGCTGTCAAGTAGACAGAATTATTATTTGAACAATAGTACATTCTAACTCGTTGTCGAGAACTTTGCTGCCTGGGGACCCCGGAACGCCAACATAAGAGATTGCCACCGCCGCTCGCCTAGACGTCCGCGAGATGGCGCTCCTAGCACTCGCGCAGCTAACGACCTCTACCAGCCGCGAAACGCGAATGGCCTTCGCGCCACGCCCCGTCACACGAATCTCCGTTTATTTCGCTTACTCGCTGCCGCTATTTACAATAAATTTAACATTTCACAGCCTGTTTGCGCGGCCGAAAGGCCCCAGACCCGCTCTCGCGTGCGTTATTAAACACCCGCCGCCTCGCTGCAACGGGCCAGTTAACCCACGCGAAACACCACCCCGCGCCAACAATCGTTCGACGCCCAGAACAAAATGGCGGCATTCACGGAGGAGGTGCTGCGAGCGCTCTGGCGGCGAAGGCGATAAACGACCGAGGCTAAACTAAGCATCACGCGATAAACGCGCAGCGAGACATAATCGCCCCGCGCCGTCTCCGCTCTGTCCCAGCCCCGGGCCTCGCGCGCGCCGAGCGGTGTTAAACCAGGCCCGCTAGACGAACGGTTACGACGTCAGTGACCCGGTTATTGAAAGCGCCCTCCGCGCCACCTGACGCAGCGATTCAGGAGGCCGTGGAACGGAGGCTGCGCCGCATTGTGTGGCAGAGTCTCACAAAGGCGATTGCGCCGCGATAGGAGAGTATCATGAATATCTAGCGGCCCTTGGGTGCCCGGGGGGCGTGGAGAATTCGTGTCGCGGAGTTGGGCGAGGCGGAGGTTGCAGATTTTCATCGCAGGCGCTGAAGGGGTGCAGTGGTCCAAGGACGTGTAATGACACTTCACGCTCGGAGGCTTCTCTGCGTGACACTTGAAATATTGCTGTTGTATTGCATTTCGTTTATCACACATTCATCAGTAGTTATTGCGATTTTTTTTTAAAAAGAGAAGGGCAAGTGTTTGCTTGGAAAGCAAAGTCATACGTATAAGTTAAGTCATAAATACGCAATTTAGTTAGCAGCAGTTGCAGTCAGAAAAGCTATTTAGCAAACAAACAATCAAAAAAGAAATGAAAGGAATAATTTTTAGATTAATATAAGGAATTGGGTTTGTTTCAACATTGATTTTTATGATTGGGCTTTTGAATGGTGCATATGAGTGTCTTCATGAAGTATTATTTTGTAAGAAACAAATAGTTGTTTTTTTTAGATTATTAGTTTTGTGTACTGAAAACGATTGTATTTAAAAATTTTTATACGTTTTTTGGCAAGAAATATTACTGTTACTTTGTTCTCGGTTTATGTACAAACTACAGGAAACATATTGGATTGAGTACAAAACTCAGATGTTGGGATTTTGGTGGTTCATAATTAGTAGTTCGATCCATTTTTAATGATACTGAGACAAAAAAGTGGTTCTTACCATACCTCTTTTCTGAATACATGAATGTGTATGTCGTATTCGAAAATCTCCAATGATTTTGTTCGCTTCACATGTCAATCTGTGATACTTCTTCTCAAGACCTGTAAGATATTTCAATTTCTGAAGATACATTCTTTCAAACCCATACGACAGTTGCAACATTTCTCAAAAATAATTTCACTGAGGAATTTTGAGTTAAAAGAAAAGAATGATCTACAACAGTTGTATTTGCCGTATATAATTGTAGTTACATATCTGGAGGGTCGATGAAAACTGCCCACTCTAGCTTATGAATCTCAATCCCTAGCTTCCAAGAGATTTATTTTTCAAGTGTGAGTAAAGTGTGCCTCTAAATTAATAAATAAATAAATTATTTAATTTAACAGAAGTGGAATATAATGCATCCAATGTTTGTGGGTATTACGTAACCATTACAGGCAAATGGAGAGAATAAATTCTGCTGTAAAACATCTAATTTTAGTTTGAATATGTACTCGGATATTCGCTAACAAACATCTAACTACAGATAATGCCCTGTTTGCGAGATTCTAGAGTATGCAAACTTGGAAAATACTGGATTTAGTTCCCATGCAATTTCATTTTAAATTATGTTGTGTGCCTCGTTAGTATGAATTTTTTCCTCAATTCCAAAACTTTTTCTTCAGAAATACTTTTTACATAAATGCCTAACTTTAATATCAATTGACTGTTTTCGAATGAGGCTATTCATGCAATTTTCATTTGAGAAAAATTCACTCGCGTTCAAAGTCTTAAAATATTACAGTTGTCACTTCGCCTCCTCCAAGCAAAACGCGAAATCCGCCATCTCTTCACATGACCACCCGGCCTTTAATTCCGCTGAGTGGAAACTCGACTAGTGCGATTTGCCTTCGGGCGTAATCCGTCTTCACACTCCTCAACGCGTGTTTCTAGCCCGGAACCTCCCACGTGACTCTCCGCCCCCGTTGCCCTCCTCGCCACGTACACGTTCGCGTGTACCCTACATCTCCCCCTCGCCCCTCCGCCTGACTCGTTTCCTGCGCGCCCACAGTCGCCCCCGTGCGCGCGCGGGCGATCGCCCCGGGCGGAGACACGCCCCGCGCCTGTAATTACCTAAAAAGCGCCGTGCGCGCGCCCGTCCACCCGCCCGCACGCACGCACGCTCGAACGTCGACCGCCCTGGCCACCGCGGCCCGCCATTCGGCGATATTCGCAAACCCCTCTTGCAAATCGACATTGGCTACTTGGGAGAATATCCCGATAATTAAAGGCCGAAGGAATTTTTATAGCCTAGGGCGCTAAGGCTGAAGGTCAACATCTGTTATCGCTCAAAGTGTCACGGGTTCGAATCCCAACCTGGGCATCCATATTTGGATGTGTCGATGTTGACAGTATGTGTTCCCCTTACAGTTACCCTGCAAGATGTTTACCAATGTTAAAAAATTACAGGGGTGTTATATGACCAGATCAGTTACAAAGCGATTT